TTGTCCAGTCACCAAAAATAAGACATCAGGAGCCGTTAATAAAAGCTTCTAGACATGTTCCTGGAATTCTGAAGGTATAATTAATATGAAGGGTTGACACTGTAGAAATTTTAATCGATATTGTCATTGGCGTAATGTCACAAAATAACATGGTATACAACAATGGCTTGGTCAGTCCTCCTTCATTTTTACTTAGGACAGTAATTGTTTTAGTAATGGGTTTAAGATCCATCAACTCCATGCTTAAGTATAGATTTTAAAAGAAATAAGATTTTCTTCAAAGTGATCAGTTACAGTGAGATGGGGTTTATCAAAAACTGATACATCAAATTGTCCTCATTTCTGACAAATTCAAATCTTTTTATTTGAAGTTCTATGTGTTTTGGTATCTCTTAAGATATTTTGTATCGGGATGTTCGTCACCACCAAAATTAAAGAATGCTTCAGTTAAGTGCTTCTGATGAAAATATTGTAAGAAAGTTAACATGAAAATGATATGACAAAGAGGAATATCATCTGTAAATTTTGGCTATGAAAATAGCTTTTAAGAATTTGGAGAGCAGCCAATGCTTTGTGACAAAACAATGTAAAAGATGGCACATCAGGGGAAGATAACTCAGCATGACAACTGGTGTTGAGATAAACAAGGAATGCTGGGAGATAATTGTTCAGTAAGAGGATGATCTCAGTGGGGATGTCCTACTCTTATGTCCTTTCTGTCTTGTTATGACTATCTTGTCAAATAATTTTGGGGTTAAACAAAGGGAAATTGATTTGAAAAAAATATCAGACAATAAAAGAATTATTTCAGACTACAACTTTACTGTAGGTCTTAGATGCAACTTACTTTTGTTTAATTATATGTTTTTATAGAGTTTTAATTATGCATTACGAACAATTTTGTACATGATGAAAAATATTATAGAATTTAAATTAAAAGGAAAAAATCTTTTTTAAGTTTTAATCAACTTTTAAGCAATTCTTATTAAATACTGAAACTGATGATAATATCTTTGAAGCTTATACTTATCAAATGTTTACCTGTTACAAGAAACTTTGTTTAAGTTTAATTACAAGGGATAATTGAAGTGAGATCTGCTTGCTTGACCAGATACTGTACAAATAAATATCCACAACAAAACTGCCATGTTGATAAGAATCATGATTCTGATTATTATCAGACATGATTAATTAATCTGTGTATTATGTCAACAATTTGGAGGATGGCTTTGATGTCATGCTACATGTGACCGTCTGCTTTGATATCTGGTAATTCCATCAGTGACAGACCATGTGACCATATAAGGCAATGTCATTGGACAGTCCTTGATGTCATACAAGTACTCCCCACTGGTAATGATAATATGTTAATGGATCAGCACACAAATGATAAAGTCTTTTATTTATATGGAACTTATTTGATAAATAAAAGCTTTTGATGTTTGTTTTTGTGCAGTTTACTGTCAGTATATGTATACATGTCATCCTGGAAGATTAGGGACTGGCAATGCACTCATTATAAACAGTTATCTCTGAACAGTAGTGGTGGAAGTTAATCATGCTTATCTAAATGGTGTCTTTGAAGAGGTAAATGCCAAGAATGAGGAAAGACAACATAAATTATCTACATGATATCAGGTTAAAAATGTACAAAGTTCAGCCATTCTCTTCACTTTATATTATCCATGAAATGAAAACATGTCAAAACAAAAGCTACTGTACATGCAGTGTTATAAAAAGTTTGCAATGTCTACTTTTATTTGTGTATGGTTTTTGGTCTATTTGAAAATTAAGAATGAAAAATATATGATAAAGCATGCATTATAAGGAGTCTCTAGGAGGAAATTTACAAACAAATACGTTTTAAACTGTTCAAAATTTAAAAGTGATTTTCCATCACAAATTATTCAATTTTTTCTCTTTATGCTATTTTTTCCCTTATAAATGGACAGCAAAAATGATGACAGTACTTAAACAATACATTTAAAGCAAAATTTCACTTGCAATGGACAAAATAATATAATTAGAACTCCCCTGATCATTCTGCGACATCAAGAATGATTGGTACAAAATATTATCAGCGGACATTAAAGTAGTCCAAACTGTAATAACAGATATTGTTGCTGCAGTTTTTGTCCCGCGCCTCGACTATTGTAAACATAGTTAATGACGGTCAATAGTGATAGAACACTTATCTTTTGTTGCTGTATCTATGTTTGATCAATGTCTACAGTGCTTTGACAACATTTTACTTTTATTCTTACAACTAACAGGATTATTTTTTATAGAGACAATTTATATAACGACTTTTCCATAAAAGTGTCTCCAATTCACAACATCAATTATCAACATTGTATTTTCCTCTGAATTGTCGCTTGTTGTGACAACTATTTGTTGTTATACATCAATAGGATAAGATTAATGATCCCATCTCCACCTTTTTACACTTTTAACCCCACTACTACGAATACAGTCATATTTATTTTGTATTGCCAGAAATTATAATTACTATTTTCATTGAGACAATTAATTAACTTTGCCTTGTGTGAGTTATCTCCCTTCAATGATTAAGAAAATAATTGTACATCAGCTTTCCTGACTTTTTTTAATAAATATCAAAATTTCAAATGATTTTTTAAAATGGAATTTTTTTTACTAATCCTTTAATGTATAATATGATAAAATTGCATATCGTTAAGGGATTTTAAATGCCAGCAAGAGTTCACTATCAGAAAAAAATACCAAAAATATGAGGGATTGTCTCCCCTGATTTTTCTTTTTGTGTCCTCTTTACAACTATAATAAAGTTTGAAATTTCCTTGTAGAAAAAAAATGAATAAAAAATTGACTACATTTATAAATGATGTTTATTTGGTTAAGTTAAAAACTGTTTGCTCTATTTATGCACGGGTCCTGAACTGAAAAGAAACATGGTTAAATAAACTGATACAAGAGACAATGTTTTGTTTGGTGTCCATCAAAAAGCCTGACTTTTTTCAGGATGGATGAATCTGATAATAAAAATGTGTTATTTCTATTATAAATAACCTATTTGTTACCTCCAGACTTAATGAGCAGGGGATTAGTTTATTTCGCCCAGCAAATTAACAATCAGCATTATACAAAACATACTGGAAAAAAACATTATTTTGTCACTGATCTTTCTCTGTAGGAAGTATATATATTTGTACAAATGTTTCCTGCATTCAAGATTAGGATGGGAAGCCTCATTTTGATAAAAAATAATTACATGGTTCATCATTTGATATAAGCTATGACTGACACAGTGGATGTATGATAAAAGCGACTTTGAATTCCGTGATTTAAGACAGTATTTTGGTATATCAGCCTGTTATCTATAAATATGTGAAGCTCATCAGCAGGTTCGTTCTAATTTACAATAAGTACCCTCAAACAATTTGCACTTGACATGATAGCCAATGCCAGAATTTGAGCAATCGTCACAGTGAGAAAAAAATATAGCTTTCTTTACCAGATGATGTTTTCAATGTATGGTTTATTACAGTTAAAATACAAAGCAGCAAATTCAAGGTTTTATAAGAAAAAGTTGTTGGATTTCATTGTTGACATTTTGGCTGTGCATGTAGTTGTAAATGATAATAGAAAAAATACAAAAATAAGAAAAATACTAAACTCCAAGGAAAATTCAAAACGGAAAGTCCTTTATCAAACGGCAAAATCAAAAGCTCAAACACATTAAACAAATGGAAAACATTATTGAGCACATATTACATTTTAACACACATTTTTGGCAAACAAAGAACCACAAAAAGACCAACCGCAAAATTCATTAAATAATCAGATCCAATGCAGATCCATTGACCTTGAGATGGGATTAGGGGATATACTAAAAAGGGAATCTGTGTGAACCATGTCCTACGTTTTTTTTTTTCTCCCTGGTACATTTAATATACTAATGCACTTTATTCTGTGATGTGAATTCCCTTAAGGTATTTTGGTTTTAAGAAATATATCTGATGGAATTTTATCCAACAAAAAACTATTTTTGTGGAGGATAAAAGCTCCAGATCTAACAATTTTAAGGCAAAGAAATAGGAACTGTAGATGGGACTCTTTATTTCAATTACAGTGCAGATGAAGATTTAAATCTGTTTTTGTATAAAAAAAATGTTGAACAACTTTATACATTAAAAATTACTGATTTTGAATATCCTCCCTTTCAACATCCAAAAAAACAACAATATTTTAAAAACTGTCCACTTGCAGAATTTGTTACACAAGTTTCCTCTCTGACACAAAAATTCTTCCAAGTCATAGATCAAATGTATTCATTAGAAAATGCCAGAAGATCATCAGGTATCACTTTCAAAGATGGCAATTATATTGGTCTATTTGATAATAGTCTTTCTAAGAGACATGAAATTAACATATTTTTGAAATAGACATTTAATTACTGATACACTTAGATCCTGAGTAGGACTGATCATCAGCTGTCATTTATAGCAATTGTTACGAGGAACATTAATTCTTCAGAAAAGAAAGATGAAAATCATGGGAAAAGAAACAAAATGAAAATCATGGGAAAAAACTGAAGATGAAAATCATGGGGACAAAAAATGAAGATGAAAATCATGGGGACAAAAAATGAAGATGAAAATCAGGGGAAATAATAACTTAGGTGTTGATTTTCAATCTTCCACTGTTGACTGCTACAATTGTACTATGTGTTTCATTTGTACTATTTGACTTTGTGTCAATTGACTTTTAAATCCCCATGTATGATAGGTGTAAATTTGAGCAATAAGTGATGTTTAAAGATACTATCAGTGACTGTATATCACAAATGAATGCACGGTCAATGCAATTTGACTTCTCAAATAGCACAGTTGCAGCATAAATGAGAACAATGCAGCAAGTTTCCTTGGAGTCGTGCATACAATAGGACAGGAAACATTACTTAAATGTCAAAAAGTATGACAATTTGATCTTGCTACAAAATATTTATTATTATTTTTCAGCACTAGATAAATTAGGATACAGACACATATACAACCTAGGAATGTCGGTGGAAGTGGTACAACCAAATGTTGTTTTTGACATAGCCAGCCTACTGTTGTACGGAGCCACAGCTACACCTGTCCGACTGAAGATATTACTGGACCGACTTTTCAGTGTCTTGCAACATGATGAAGTCCTTCAAGTTTTGCAGAGCTTTGGGTGGTCTTATGAAGACTATGCAAGAGGATATATCTTACAGGTAAAATAAAAGTACCAAAAAAATTTAAAAATTAACTGATGGGGTATGATTGCCAATGAGACAACTGTCCACCAGAGTCCAAATGAAGTGGATGCAAGCAGCTATTTACTTGCAAATGAATGTAACTACCAAAGCTTGCTTTTATTTGTTGAGAGAGAGAGTACCGTTGCTTTAGCATCATTGTAGCTAAAGAAGGAACCTCTTTTCTGTAACACCTCTATTTTTTAAAGGCAGTCTTGTTCTTTAACATGTCACTGATTATTACTTTTTCTACTGCGTCAAATTTCATACAAGTCTATAAAAATGTATATAATTACTCACTTTTTGTATTGAATTTCATGACTCTTTTGTTTATTAATTTTTGTAACTGACAAATAACCACATTTATACTGTTTTTCTTTCTTGAAATAGCTTTTGTTTTGCTAAAAAATAAACTAGACAACAACATAAGTTTAAGAGGCGTGAAAATTTGGCAAGCATATGATAAATATGAGACAATAGTGTATGATCTTACTGTGATCAATTCTAGAAGCTTTGTTTTTTGACACTTTTATTTTCTACCACAGGAGTGACTTTTGATAAATTGTAGCACATGAATCAGCAATCACTTTGGCAGTTGCTCAAATTTTCGAAAGCAACTAATTCTGTGTGATATTTTGTCAAATGTATTTTTTGGATTTTGCAGCTAACATTTAGTACCCTGAACAAAGCCAAAATTTAATGACAAAACACAACTTTTACATTAAAATCTAAATATAAACTATTTTAATGGGACATCTGTAAGGCATATGCGACCATTTGATAATAATTTCTGCAGGTAAATAGATAGTAGAGAGATTGATCCTAACAAATGCCACGTGTATATGTCATTTGTAATTATGTCTGCTAATAGGTTTTCTTGAAAATGAGTTCTGTTAAAATCGGAAACTGGTATAAACGTAATTGTGCCTCCTTTGATGCGGAAGCTTAAGGTGTTGCATCTTGCAGAGTAACATTAACGAAGAATGCTAATGATGAAAAAAGTTACCACAAAATTTTATACCTCATGTCTTGAAATAGTGTTCACTCAAATTTATAAAATAGTTGTAAAGACAATATGTTTATTTTGCAAATCGGTTACTTATTTTAAGCCTACCATTGCTTCTTACTTTACTTTTTTTTTTTCTTCGCTACAAATGTATGAAACTCATGTCTAAGACTAACCAACAAATGTTTACAATTAGTTTTTGGGGAAACTTAACTCATTACATTTAAAGGTTATGTTTTCAAAATTTCTTTGAAATAAATGATATGCCTAAAATGAACATAATCATTTTGTCAACAACAATAAACGTTAAATCTGAAAAAAAGTTCCATATATTTTCTATAAAATGTTTTAAAATTCCTGTCTCTGTACATCATATTTTTGGATAGTTAAGCGTTTTTGATGTATAGAAACATGGTCAGAAACTAAATTGGTCATAGCAACATTCATCAAAAAGGATCAGTATGTCATAATTTTTCAGGGGGATGACATGCTTATGGGATGTGGGATATATACAATGTAATGGTTGTCAGATATAGGGGTACAAAAAGTGGGATCTGGGGGGAAAAAAGTTGAAATTGACAAAAAATTTGTAAAAAACAGGATTTAGGAAATGAGAACCCCTGTGTCACCCCTTCAAATTCTTCCTGCAGGTCCTCAATAGATGTACTGGTAGTAGCACACAGTTCTGTCTATCATCATAATCTCATTAAACTGACAACAGAAAGACAGGCCACATGCCTTCCAGGATTTCTGGGTCATTATTGGCACACTTACAAATATCTTTGTCATAAACATAAATGTTTATTAAAGTTTGGGGAAAATGTTGTAGGTTTCCCTCAAAATGTTACAGGTTGCTTTCATTGTACCATTTCAGTTAATGTCAGGGATAAAGGATGTATAATTTGTACCTTCTCTGAACAAAATTTAATGTTTTTATGCCCCCGCCGTAACAGAGGGGGCATTAAGTTTTACCCTTGTCTGTCTGTCTGTACGTACGTACATCCCAAAATTGCTTTCTGTTCTCTTACTTTAGTTTGCCTCAACCAAATGTTATGAAACTTAAACTGAATGCTTATTACCACAAAACGCAGATCAAGTATGAATTTTGGTGGCGTCACTTCTTCCGTTCTAGAGTTATGCCCTTTACAAATGGAAAAATTGCTGAAGTTTTCGTTTCCGTTCTCTAACTTTAGTTTGCCTCAACCAAATGTTATGACACTAATACACAATACTTATTACCACAAAACACAGATCAAATTTGAATTTAAGTGGCGTCACATTTACCGTTCTAGAGTTATACTCCTTTACAAATGGAAAAATTGCTGAATTTTAGTTTACCTCAACCAAATGTTATGAAACGTATAGACAATGCTTATTACCACAAAACACAGATCAAACTTTTACCCTTCTTGAGTTATGTTCCTTTATCACATTATATGCAAGCGGGGGCATCATCTGTGTCCCATGGACACATTCCCCATTTATTTATTCTAATCTTTTCCAGTAATCTTTGAAGGTTGCTGTCTCATTGATAATTGCACTAAATCTCATCATGAATAGATAAATACATGTTGATATCTAAGTTATATCAAATGAGATTAAACGATACTGTAGCTAATTTGATACACCAGATGTGCATTTCAAAAATTTATTCTGCTTAATTTTTTTGCTAAATTTCAAGTACAAGATCAAATTGTTAAGAAACTATGTTATATTTGTTTGTAGAACAAGGGAATGACTTCTTATATTTTATCAGACTTGAATATTATACACACAATGATTGTTTATATAAAGCATTGAAAAGGCAAATTGATGACATGTTGGTTAAGGTCCAAAAATTTACAATTTGAATTGCTTTTTATATTTATTTATACACTCACTATTTAATGACTTAAGTATGGCAAAAATTGTCAATTTTCTCAAGTTTTGACATTGCAGAAATGATATCAAAACTCTTCTTCAAAATAGTAGATAAGACATGAAGATCTAGAAACATTAAACTAAGACAGCCTGCAGTGCAGAAATATCAGAAAAAGTTTCTCCTCAAAGAAAATTTATCAACTTTTAGAATAGGCACATTAAATTGTCGTATTGAAGTGCCTATCTATCTGTGGTAGCATCATTTGGCAGAGAGTCAGAATCACCAAAACGTTTGACGTCAATCTGAATCACACCACATGCCATCTTTTAAAACCTGTCAATGATTTTGAAGAAAATTGGATGATTTTTAGGATAGTAGTGTTTACTAAGTCACATCCTGTCTTCTGTATATACACCTACAGCTGAAAATCTGTCTAAATAATCCTTCTGTGAGCACTCAGACACAAAACAGCACTTAGAAACTAAATCATAGTCACTATTTTTCACAGTTTAAACAGAATAGTGGGTTGTATCAGTAATTGAAATAAGTAAAACCTTGATTACTCAAATAAATGCAAATTTTGCGGTTTTTATAGGTAGGGTTTTTTTTTTCTTTCTTTATTGATAATTTTCGTCTTCACCGTTCAAAAGAAAAGCTATCGAATGAAATGTAATTTTTGTATAATTCATCTTCTTCAAGTCACCAAATAGGATTCATAATTGATTGATAATGTTTTTGTTTATAATAATTAATATGTTTTAACATTTGATGAAATCGATCATTTTCTGTAAACTTTAGTGTCGACTATTTGGTTTTATCACAATGGTTTTTGTTTTTCTCTATTTAAGATACGTCATACAATATTTTCCCTTAAGTTTACAAATGGGACATCGACTGTTTTGTTCCAATAGAATAATTAACTCTATCATACAATAATGTCCCATATATTGAATTATTAAATTAAAAAGACATCATTAATTTTATGTTATTGACGTCTCTTGTGGACCATTATGTTTGTTTCTAGACATCTCTTCTTGTCAGATCTTTTTTGTTCATCTTTTATACAATATCCAGAAAACTCACTTGTGACCTGGATTATGATGTGGTATAATGATGTATCATGGGATACAGTTTTGACCAGAAACAGGATGATTCTAAAGAACATGTCAATGTAAATATTGGAAATATGTACATTTTATTTACATCAAATATTGTCATGGAATGTTATTTTTGTGAGTGTTGTTTGTCTAAGATATGTTAAGTTCTTCACAAACTTGGTCAAGCAATTGAAAACTCTGAAAAAAATGTCACAAATAAAGAAGATAACTGGAAATTCATGATTTTTTTTTCATTGTGGCAATTTCTGTTGATGAACTATTGAAGGCTTCTTTGTTTCAGTCTAAATTCTTAATTTAAATTAAAGAAGATGGGGGTAATTGTGGATTCACAATTGATCCTCGGATACCAGTACTCAGGGATTTCATGGGAAAAGATTAATAATGGATTTAAATGTTTTAACAATGTCTAAATTTTCAATAGGATTGTTTGCAGACTTTAAATGGTAAAACCCAGAAATAAAAAATCCTCGAAAATACATTTTTTTCCTCAATCAACAAAAAGTTGGTACCCATGACAATGAATTAATGCACAGTATGTGTTTGTAGTTGGCCTATTTGACAGTATGCTGTTTTTGATTAGAGATTTCTGAAACTTCTTTGAACCATACTGAAAAGTAAGAACTTGTTTTTTGAGAGTTGATTTAACCACTAGGAAAACAATAGTGGCTTTCCCCATGGTAAATGAATTGTAGAAATCTTGTGATCTTGTTTATTTTCCTGTTCTCACACAAAAACCACATCAACTACTTGTTGTTGAGAGTTATAATTTAGTACTGATATAGCTGATTAATTATATGACAGAACTATTGAGTAGTAGTAATTTGGAAGTACTATTTTTGATAGTTTTTATGACAGACATTTCAGAGACCCTCATAATGTTATGTAATCTATGAAATGCTATAGTACTGTTTCCTTGTGCTTTTCTCGTTATTCTTAATTAACCAATGCGTCCTCATATTTCATTGTAAACAAGAAAAAACACATGACTGTCTTTTTGTCTAAAGCACATTTTGGGAAGAGGGTTAATTAGATAATTGCAGCTTAAGAATTTTTTGTCCGGAAGCATTCATCAGCACATGCTAAGAATAAATCAAGTGTCCTGCCTTAGTGAACAAATGCACAGATAATTGTCCTTGATGGTACACAGATGGGGAATAAGTGTTCCCTCTTCGGTTGATGATTACACACAAGTATCTTTGATTGTCAAGTTCTTTCTGGTAGTTGCTTCTCACGGTTTCATTCTTTTAATTTTTCTGTGTCTTCTTTTTAATTTATTACAAACAGATAGTGATTTTTTGTATTTTTGGCAAGAATTTTCCTCTCCGTAGCCTTTGATCCACATCTGTCTCGGAACTATTTATTACGAGCACAAGCTCTTTCTTCTCTGTATAATGGGAGATAATGCACATTTAATTGATAAAATATAAGTAAAGTTCACTTTTACATCAAGTTTTAACAGAAGTGATTTTATGTTTTTGTCTTTCAACATGAAGGACGGTCTTGTATTTTATGTTGAAGTAGAAACCATTTTACAAGCAGTCTTTTCTTTCTTTTGCTTAAAGTACATGCAGGTGTCATGAAATATCTCGTTTGAATTTTTTGTGTTCAGAAAATATTCCAATGTTTTCGTACACCCACATAGCTAAGCTTGATCATATGGTAAGGAGTAGTTACCCTCAACATAAATTTGCAGGGGACAGGAAATTGCAAGAAGATCTCTTAGTTTAGTATATGGGTCCTTTTGTTTTATATGCTGAGGTGTCCAAAATGAAATTGAGAATGGAAATTGGGAATGCATCAACAAGACAACAACCCGACCAAAGAGCAGAAAACAGCCCAATGCATATGGAAGGGATAAATTTTTAACATTTAGAAAAAAAATTGTAGATAGATTTTGATTAAATTGATATGCATTTTGTTTTCATGTATGCACCTCAACCATAACCTCTGTTAATATCAGTTTTGCATTTGTAAAATGACAGATTTACCTTTCAAATTCAATGATTGTTATATCAAGAGAAGTTTAAGACCACCTGGATCAGTAATTTTATTTTTTAATTTAAAGATTATTTTCTTAGATAAGTAAAATAAATTTAAATTTGAATCATATTTTCAAATAATTTGCAATAAAGCATTTGGTTCAAAGTTAATAAATATGTAATTGAAAATAAATAAAACTTGGAATTCAAGGGGTAAAGAGTGTAAAACTACTGGGTTTTACTCCAACAAAGGACGTGTCTGAATCTTGTAATTCATGACATTAGGATTCTGGAAAATGAACAAAAAGTGATTATAAGATGATATTATCTGTATGGTCTCTAATTGTAGACATTCTTTCAGGTGATTTGCCATTATCTTTTTGTGATGGTTTTTGGCGAAGTGTAACACAGTAAATTGATAATAACCAAGCACATATTTACTGGGTGATAATTTAGAAAATGCAAAACATCAGAGTTTGCTTGATTTATAATCATTTCCTACAATAATTAGGTAAATTTTTGATGCATGTGCAGAAAAAAATTCAAGCAAAAGCGTCCCGTTTACATGTGTTGTTTATTGATTCCTAATCATAAAACCAAATATTTTGTGGTGCTTTTATTATGAAAATGTGACGTTAGATATTAAAAAAATGAGATATTTGGAGGTCTCTTATTATTCTGAAATATATGTTTCTTTATAACACAATGTTCATTACGGTTTATAGGGGATTAAATTTAGTGCATTTACAAGTGAAATCTTTCATTAATTTGTTAAGAAGTATCACCTTGCCTGACATAAAAGATCTGTTTAGCTTTTATGCCTTTCATCCATCATTTACAGATGACTTACAGAAAGCATATTGACTGTTTTTATCAATGGAAAAAATAATGAGCCTCACAAAATTTTAGTATGTGCATTATTCAGAAGTAATGAATAACAAATTGAAAGTTAGTCATTGATGGTCTGTACTCTCATAGCCTTGGTTTGTGTCCTAGGAGATGGAAAAAAACAAAAGGGTTAAGGATGTAGTCATGTCAGGTTTAGGGATTTTTGTCAGATGTTCGGACTCCTTGGATTTTTTCCTACGATACAGGGTAAAATATTTTGCCCCATGTCATCAACTTTTCTTTTCATATAAGACATTAATAGCTCATAAAAGGTCATTTTCCAAAATTAAAGCAGATTCTATATTTCTTTTCTTTAGATTTGAGACCCAAATAATGCCAATGCTAAATATAAGGTAAAAGTCTTGAGTCAGCCATTTCCCGCCATTTTAAAAAATTAAATATCTTTAAAAGGAGTTTCATAACCTATCAATATTTTAAGCTTATTTTGTTCCTTACTAATGCTCTTCTAATTTATAGATTCAATTTTAAATTCTGGATTTTTTTAATTTCACCTGACTATATTCTTAATTTCAATGATCAGGTGTGATTAATGTGTAGGTCCATCTAACTTAAATTTGCAGTTAACAAATTATAGAACCGAACACAAATTAGTTAATTTTAAAGTAAAATTAACTCATTTAATTAGATCAGAGCCAACTCTGAAAAATTTCTGCATGTCAATCAAAGAAATAATTTATTTGATCTTAAGAAACAAAAAAAAGAGGGAATGATTTGATTTGATTTTGAAAGCAGACTGCCAATAGTCATGACATTCTGACGACCAACTGTGGTATTCCTTAATCATTGGATTGTCCCATGTGAGACAAGGGTAGCATGACTTCATGTAAAATTGATTAGAAAAAAAACACCCTGTAATCAATTTCTCCCATAGACACATCAAACAGTAATTTTCTGTTACAAGAAATGTCTAAGTTTCTTGAACTTAGATACTGTATTTTAAATGAGAGTTTTATTTAGTTTTCTATGACAAGGATGATGATGATAAGGGCCATTATTTTGCCAATATATTTGCAAAAAAAAAAAAATTCTTCAAACCATTGAAAATTATGTTGATTTATTCATAAAGGAATAGGATTGTAGAGTCAACTCTAATGTCATAAGTATGTCAATATCGACGAAAAAAAACAAACTAAATTTGCCATTTTTTACATAATTTTGCTAAATCAACAGCCTTACCTAAAAATATATTTTACTCACATCAACATCTTTTGTTTCAGACATCTTGAAATGAAATACCTTTTTTTGTAAATTAAGACTGTTAGGGAAATTAATTACAAGATCTCCAAATAAGACCTAATTTGGCAGGTTTCTCACTTTTTCCTAAGTCATATATGTAAAACTGAATTCAAAAATATAAATACTTGCATCTGACAGACTTATTAAAATTGTTTAACCTTCCTCTCTGTTAATAGATACTATAAAGTAGAAATTTCCTAAAAAAGATATATTCAGGAAATATAGAAGATTGAAGTATCAATGGAAGATATTCAGAAATCCCTTTATTTCCAGTGTAAACATATTTTTCAAAGACAAGGTATAAAGTACCATAACTGTTCATATCATATGAGCTGGAACTCTAAATGATAAAAAGAAGTTTTGTCATCATTTTATTTTTAAAAAATGAATGTTATACATGTGCAATAGTTCCATTGACTGATGTTCATAAACTTTTTATGTGATATTAGAATTGATTATAATTCAGGGAAGTCTGACCATCTCCATTCGTAAGAAATTGGTATTTTTTAACATTTTAAACTATTGTTTAGGCATATTGCATTTCATGGTGTCCTGTTACATGTATAAGTAAAATTTGAATTTATCAGAAAATATATTTCTATTTTATATATGCTTTAGAATATACAGTGGGCATGTAATTTTCTGAGTTAGCCGACTAATTTCCAACTGACAAGTCTATTGTGGTCGCTGTGAGAGTTTTACTAAATAAGCCGTATAATTCTAAATTGATACCAAACACTGCAGACATTTATGGTTATTCCCGTGTACCCATGTCATGTTCAGCAGAATTAATTCATTGTCAATTGCAATGCAATAAAACTCTAGACTGTCCTCGGTGGAGCAACTCACTTGATCTGTTGAATAAAATATTAACGAATGTCAGCATGTTTGGAATAAACTGGACACCTCTCGTCTTAATCGCTGGATTGGGAAATGACATTTTATGACGAAAATACGCCATCAAGGTGTCAGAAATTAGTTTACCAATATTATGAGGATACATTAAATAATATTTGCATCGTCGTGTGGGACATCATTTTATTTGACAAGAAAAAATTGCTGTAATTTGATTGTTTCTTTCATGATCGTTGAATGATTTAACTTTATGGTCCAGTTGGGAGAATTTGTATTATAGTAACGATAATAAGTAGTCTAAATAAGCAAATGCCATCACGTAACATTATAACACGATTACTACTGGGACTAGAACTGATAAATAGGAGACTCTATGTGGATAGGTCATCGTAAATTACAGTGTTCAACGAAAAAAACATTATAAGCAATAAAAAGATATAGTTTTCTGTCCTTCATGCTATTTTGTTAATAGATACTTATATTATGTTTAATGATGAATCAGCTTACAAATAAAATGATCAGCTTACATATAGAATGTATGTCTAAAGGTTTTCAATTGTTTTCTAAATTATAAGGTTATTTGTTCTTAGGTTTCTTTTGAACCCATCAATTACTGGTCTACAATTCTACAAAAGTTGAACTACTGGACTTCATATTTTATACATTAGTGGTACTATATCGTATAAATACAAATTTCGACTTTTTAACCATCGGTGAATAAGGTAATACATTATTAATAAATGATTTGAATTAACCAAAATAAAAAAATTTTAAAAATTAAAAATCAAAATGAAAAGGATTAACCATAAATGTGTAGAGCGTTTTTATAAGCATTCACTTGACATAAAAATGATAGTATATGTTTAATGCAGACTAATTAAATAGCACTATTTTAAACCATTTTTATCTCTTTTTCAGGATACTAACGGGAAAGTCCTAGATAAATGGTCCATTGCCTCCCGAGAAGAGGAACACATTATGTTGCAGCAGTTTTTGCGATTTGGAGAAACAAAATCTATAGCACAAGAAATTATTCTTCAAGACACAAAGGAACAACAAGATTTATTTAAGATGCAATCAACCAGAGCTGAATCTGAAATCAAGAAATTCATCGAAAGAAGCAACCACTCAGTTCATAACTACATGAGAGGTCTTGAGCCTCGTCATCTGTTTGGTAATCGGCTTCCGTTTGTGCCAATAGGAAGCCGTCTAATGACTCCTCCATCACTTTTAAACTTTTCTCCACCTTTGAGTAATGATGTCAGAAGTCATGTGACCTCCGGAGTACCATCATCAAGTCCTGTTACGTCATCACCATTAGGCAGACTACAGACCATGCAGCCATTTGATTACCACAGGGAACAAAGTAGTCCTGCAATGAGCCCAGGCATACCTGAAAAACATAATCCGGAATCATATTCAAGTGATAGTCCTAAAAATATGAGTTTGACACCTACATCATCGAAATCAGATACACCACCATACACACCTCAAATCTCAGAGAGCGACGGCACACCAGTCAAATCATCAGCTCTGATGTCATTGCCCATCATGCAACCAGGAGATCTGGGTAGTAGCAGAGCTCTTGACTTTTCTTCACCGAGGGATCATGGGAACAGTTTAATGTATGATGACCACAATGCCAAACATTTAAGAAAATCACACAATCCAGTCAAAAGACAATGGACTCCATCAGCTAGCTTTGGTACTTCTTTCATAGGACCTAATGGGAAAAAGCGGGTATTGTGTACAGCGTGTAATAAGACTTTCTGTGATAAAGGTGCACTAAAAATCCACTACAGTGCAGTTCATTTGAAGGAAATGCATAAATGTAGCGTTGATGGATGTAACATGATGTTTAGTTCCAGGAGGAGTCGTAACAGACACAGTGCTAATCCTAATCCTAAGTTACATATGCCACAAAAAAGAGTCAAGTTACCTGAAGGGGCCAGTATTATTGATGAAGACTCTTGTATGTCACCAAATATGGTAGCAAGTCCACCAAGTATGGTTGGGTTGCCTACAAGCTTGTCAGATCCAAGTATTGTTTCACAGTTCGACACACATGAGCTTGCTCGTGCTAATCATGCACTGTTCTATTCTGCTTTAAATGCACAGATGTCTGTGTTTCCATCACCAGAGAAAAGATACCGATTGGATGATGATATGCCCAAAGACCTCAGTCTTGTTGACAGGAAAGATTCAGACCTCAAGTCAGAACGTGATGACTCCCCTCACCACCGATCAAATCGTCGTAAAAATATGGTACCGACTCGTCTAACACAGCCTTCTAGTATGCCTGATATGAGTGATGATAATTCTGAAGATGAACATGTGAAAGAGGACGGAAAAGAAGACATGAATGATGAACAATACCTTAGCCTTCATCAAAGATATCAGATGGATAATGATAGCTTAGCCGAAAAACATTATTTGAAGCGTAAATTAGTCGTGGATACCAGTGATGATAATGACATTGAATTGGGTGAAATAAGGCGAGATTACAGAAGTCATGAACTACCTAACGGACATGCACAGAAGGAGTATCCAAAAATAGCTTCCCTTTTGTCAAAATCCTGCAATGATGAGGTTATTGATTACTCTAAAAAGGTTCCCTTAAATCAAGACGAGGATTCACTTTCAAGTGACCATAGTGCTTTGTCTGAATCTAAGTCATCTTTTACAAATATGGAAACTGGGCAAAAAATATCCTCTTCTGATGATTCTGTTGGAGAATTACCTTTCAGTAAGGAAAATCCAGAAAGATGTGTCATGTGTAATGAAAATTTTCTAAGTATGGAAGATGTACGCTCTCATCTTCAAAACTTGCATTTCAAATCTATGCATTTCTGTTCTGTAAATGGGTGCAATGCATTTTTTAAATCTAAACGAAATCAGGAGAGGCACAGTGCTGACTGTGAAAAGTTACGACAAAGCTTACTGGATAATGACAATGACCAGTCAGAGGAACGTGAAGAATTGAATATTGAAAAAATGGAGAGTTCTGTTGACAAATATGCCAAAACAAATGGGAACAAACATGGAGATAGTTCTGATGGGGATGACGAAGATTCAGAAGATGAAATTGACAAGAAAAATGAAAACAACAACTTTGACAATGAAACTGAAAAAGATGAAATTGCCATCCATAAAAATGGTATAAATGTCCATTGTCATGTCTGTCAATCAAAATTCAAGGATAATTTAGCTTTGAAAGAACATTTTGAAATCAATCATCCAAAAGAAATGTTTCACTGTACAATAAAAGGATGTGAAAAGATTTTCTCAACCCGCAAAAGTCGAAATCGTCACAGTCAGAATGGTAACCTACATCATCATCTTCCAGAAACAAAAAGCTGAAATATATTAGAAAAGTGCTGAACAATAATATATGCAATTAAACTTGGATATATGCTGTCAATATGCAAATGTTAAATGTTTAAGAATTATTTAATTTCCTTAATTTATAACAAAAAGATACAAGTTGTTTATATTGTGAAGTATAATAGTACAAAGATCAAATAGTCTGTTTTTTATGGGGATTTTTTTATTTCTTTTTTAAGATTTATTCTTTCAAACACAAAATTTGATTTGTTTCTTTATAACTTCACTGGTCAAAGGGAGCTAACTCTATTCAGACCTTTCCCACAATTGCCAAATATTTATGCACTATTTGTATAATATTAATCTATGCATTTTAATTGTTGTGTTTTGTTGTTATACCATAGCATACTGTGGTAGTTAATCAGATCTCCAGAGCAGTGTACATTTCTTGTCTTTATTGTTTCATTTTGTTGCATATAATGTTTGATTTTCTTGTTTCATTTTTTCATATTTGATAGATATGCGAAATATCTATAATGGTCAAGCAAAATACAAAAATAGCTAAACTTTGAAAACTTATTTGAACATCAAAGTGAATGTTGATATTACCTTTAATATTCAAATTACTGGAGAGACCAAATAGTTCTTTATGTAAAGATCAGAGCTAAATATACAAAATGCAATCTACCTTTTATTGTTTTGTTTCAGTTTAGATTTCCGTCCACAACTATTATTTTGTTTGTTGTCAGTTTATTTTGACAACGAAAATTTCTTTTATGATCCAGGAGATTAATTTTAAATTATATAATTGGTAAAGATGAATAATTTGTTAATATCTGTGTTATATGTCAATGGTTTCACTTCATGTCTTCTGCATTCATTTTTGTTTACTTTTTCCTTTATTAAGTATAATTTGAAGAAGGATGTATATCCTCAAATTGAAAAAAAAAAAAATTCAAATCTATGCAGGTTTTAAGAAATCATTATTAATTAAATACAATTATTTAGAATAAATATTAAATCCTGCATGGTTGTTTTGTATTGTTTCATGTGTTGTGATACATATTTTAGCTCAGGAAGTTTTTTTTTAAGTTGTGAGTAGATTTTTGTTTTGCTATTAGAGGTTATAAAATTGGTTTTATGACAATCCCTTTTTTCTAGTCAAATAATTTTTCAGACTATTAAATGTCTTGTAATTATGTTATAGCAACGGTTGAATTATTCAAAGGTATTAAGACACATATATATTATTTATGTTACATTTCATGATTTTATTTGTATCATTCATACACATGCATATTTATTTATCAGTATTCTATGCATGCTTTCATCATGTTCATAATTGCATTACATCAAAAAATAATTCATGTTTGTGTTATAATGTTTAGACAGAGACCTAACAAACTACATGTATATCTAAAAATAGTTTTTCTATTTTTTTCTAGTGCTCTCTGAACAAAAAAATTTACAGCATCACAAATGTTAACAACTTTTTCTTCTTTATTTGTGTAAGTGTATTTCTAAATCCATATTTTTCCCCTTCAATATAACCAAAAAATAAGGAAATTTTCTGAATTGTGGATGAACTCTATATTTTTCATTTTTTCCACATAGTCTTTTCTAGTATAGTAGTATTCATTAGTAATAGTTATTTTCATGAGAGCTTGATACATGACATTGTAATAGTATTTTATTTGACAATTTAAAAAACAAATTTAATACTTTTCAAGTTAACAGATGCCAATGATGTATACAACATTTTATTTAGTTTCTGGCTTCCTAATAATGCAGTAATAATTAAGTATGAAAAGAAAACAAGTTCTACTGATAAGTCACAGTATACTTGTTACAATTATTCATGTTGTTGGGCTACTGTCTCATTGACATATATCCCGCATCTCCTTCTATTCCTATACGTTTCTTGAATTATTTAATTATTTTTTCAGTTTTAGTTGCAATAAAAAAAATTAAAGTATTTTTTTCTAATTACTATACAAATAATTGACATTATACAATGAGGAAATTAATTGTTAGTATATCATCTACTAACAATCTATCAACTTAGCTTGTGTTCTTTTCATATTAAATTATGATTATATTTCATCCATGCATTTGTAAATAAGCTTTTGATGTTGAAATAGTCAAATCTAAAAATTAGACAGGCATTCTATGGTCAAAGAGGAGATAACTCTTTTGAAACAAAACCTTAGTAATTTCCATTCTTCATCAAATTCACAATTGGTTTTTCATTTTTTGTCTATTTATACTTTAAGAATTGACCAACTGGTACCTGAACTTATAATTACAACATTCTTTAAAGTTTTATTCGATGGAATTTTTTAAAAAAAGGTTTCAAAAGAGTTTTTTTTTTCTTTGCCTTCAGAAGAGGTCTGTCTAAAGTTCACTTTAAACCTATGCAAGTAAAATGTAGATATAGATAGAAATATTTTTAATCAGATTCTAGCTACTATGCTAAATATGTGTATTAAAGCAATAATTCTTTATAATATGCATGCAAAGTTTATTTATATGTTTTACAGGGATATAAATTATCAATTTATGCAGAAGATTCCCATGATGCAAATATCATTGTTTTAAGTATTATTTGTTTATATACTTGTAGACTAGTTTTTGAAAGGCAACAGAGATTGAATTTTACTTTATTTTCTTGAATTTGTTGGTACTCAATTTCAAAAAGAAAGTATAAGCTTTACAGAGTATGATTTGTAACGATCTTTGCTTTAATCATTCCAATTTTAAAAGAAAAGAATAAATTAGTGATCATTCTTTTATATGAATTTATGCAAGCAGTCATCTAAAAACACTTTGTTTCGCATGTACAGGATATATTTGTTATTAGAGAAAGTATTTTGGACTTACAAAAAAAAATAAAAATAAAAGTATTTTGACTCTAAAATGATGAACAGTAATAGCTTATCCTTCGCTATGTGTAAGGATTTTGTTAATGAAGAAAAACACCACATCCCAGCTTTTTCTTAAATTTCATTCTCTGTTGTCAATTTTTCAATGATTTAATAACATTAAACATTAAATCCTGCCAGTCAAGTTGCCAAATTGTTGATAATTTTTTTTGTAATTTAGTGTACAAAGTACTTACCTGTGATATTCCGTTTTATTTTCTATGCCAAAAACTTAGATACAGTTAGTCAACATCGAACATGCAAACAATCTTAGTTTTAGTTCACATTTATACCAATACAATGTACTTTCAAAGACATTTTATGGATCTTGGATCCATTGGCCGTAATTTTTTTTTAGTCTCTCATGTAAGAAGCATATGTCAATCAAAAGTAAAATTTTTATACATAATTTTTATTCAGTACCACATTTTTTGTCCATTTTGCTTTTTGAATATTAATAGTACATGTAGTACACCTATTATTTAACTATAAAATATCGATAATACATGTTTATATCATTTATTGTTATTTCACATCTAAGCTTCACAATGCACTTTTAATGAACAAAGCATAATAATATCGGAAATGGCAGTCTCAAATTCTCAATTTATTTGATGAAATGCAATTGTGTACTAAATGTATCAGTGTTTAGAGGCTATTTTAGTAGCCATTCACTCAAGCATCTAGTCAATGTCTTAGTTTTCATTGGTTGTTGAATATTTTTAAATTTATTATTTATTATACTGAAGACCAGTTTTGTATCAGTATTAGCATAGAATAAAGTTCTTTTGTAGCAGAAATGTTGTTTGATTTTATGCCAATATTTGAAAAAAATATATAGTTTTTGAGTGATGTAATTTGATATGGAGTTATTTCCCTTGGTAGTCATGGTGAAGAGCAAACTGATTGATTTTATTCTATGATTGTTTGATTATATGCCAATATTTGAAATAATAGATAGTTTTTGAGTGATGTAATTTGAATGGGAGTCATTTCCCTTGGTAGTCGTGGTGGCGGGCAAACTGGTTGATTTTATTCTATGACTTACCTAATTTAAACACGGTATAAGCATATATAATAAAAAAAAAAACTCATTGCTAGATAGTAGTGATGAGCTATACAAGGCTTAAACAAATTAAACTTATTTAGAAAACAAATGTTTTAAGTTTAGCAGTCAGTTAAACAAGACAAAATATTTACAAAGGAATTTGTGCAAATTGTCCTCAAATATGACAGCAAAGGGAAATCAGTTGAGCATCCTCAAACTATCTATTACACCCTTTGGGTCTTCCTTTGTTTGCATTTTCAAATGAGACGTCAACTGTATTTTCAGCCCTCTTTGCAGCCTGTTAAATATTTGTGGTATAGAAATTATTGTCACCTGGATTTCTCCTGTTAGGCAATAAAACACATGCTGAGGGGCCATCTATTTGGCTGTGTAGGATGTATAAACATGCAGCCCCTTCTGGTTGGCATGGGAATGTTTGATATGATGTCTAATGTAGGGAGAATGCCAAGCTCTCTGCATGTAAAGAACCCTGTCAACTTGTCGAGTGGTTATAATAGGTGCCATGTTGCAAGGTAACATTCTGCCCTTATCCAATATACCTCATTTTTCCAGTGACAGTTGAATTTTTCTTTTCATCCCAGTGGCCTCCCTTGGCAGCATATATATTATACTTTAAAAAGATACCAGGAATATACAAAATTATTTGACTTGACAACAAACCATACAAACCACCAATACCCAACTCCTCTGAAAAATAAACATACTAACAACACATGGTCCAGATAGCCTGACTTATCATAGGCTCAAACTGTAGTGGAGTTAAACCAGTTTTATGTATTTACATTTGTCCACCAGAGTTCAAATCAAGTTTGTCACTTATATGATATAAAATTGAGAATGGAAACAAGAGAGTCCAAAGAGCAGAAAACAGCCCAAAGCCACCAATGGGTCTTCAACACAGCGAGAAAATCCCACACCTGGAGGTGGGCTTCAGCTGGCCCCTAGACAATAATGTATACTAGTTCAGCGAAAATGGATGTCACACTAAACTCTGAAAAACATATAAATGAACCAAAATTAAAATACATACAAGACTTACAAAGGCCAGAGGATTCTGGCTTATGACAGGTGCAAACATGTGGTGTGGTTAAACATGTTTTGTGAGATCTCAACCCTCAAAATTGATAGTCTATGATAGTCTATCAACCAACAATTTTTGTTTTGACTGAAATAAGGCATATATAATTGTAAACTTTAAGAACATCGTAAGTGATTGTCCTCATGCAGTCATGCCCTTATGCTTTTTGTCCTGTTTAAGGAAATTGCTATCGATGCAATATGTATGTCATATTTGTTTTTTTATGCCCCAGCCGTACGTCCCATTATTAGTTTCCATTCTCTAACTTTAGTTTGCCTCAACCAAATGTTATGAAACTTATACACAATGCTTATTACCACAATACACAAACCAAGTTTGAATTTTGGTGGCGTCACTTTTACAGTTCTAGAGTTATGCCCATTTACAAATGGAAAAATTGCTGAATGTTTCGTTTCCGTTCTCTAACTTAAGTTTGCTTCAACTAAATGTTATAAAACGTATACACAATGCTTATTACCACAAAACTCAGAACAAGTACAAATTTGGGTAGCGTCACTTTAACAGTTCTTGAGTTATGTCCCTTTATTACATTATATGCAAGGGGCATCATCTGTGTCCCATGGACACATTCCCCATTTATTGTTCATTGTTTTGTACATATATCAAGCCACTAGTTTTCTTGTTTGAATTGTTTTACATTTGTCATTTGGGGCTTTTTATAGCTGACAATGCAGAATGGGTTTTGCTCATTGATGAAGGCCGTATGGTGTTCTATTTTTGTTAATTTCTATGTCATTTGGTCTCTGGTGGAGAGTTGTCTCATTGGCAATCATACACATCTTATCTTTATACAAACCTCCAGTTTTGCCTAAATAGACCATGTATCATAGAAGTTCAACAATACAACACAACAAGAAAAAAACCTGCAGTCCAGCTACCAACAACATTGGACTTGTTCTGGTTTTGAAATACTTGTCAATGGATGTAAAGGTAATAACAATCAATCAATATTAAGTATGAAATTGTGCAATGCATAATTTACATTATATGAGTTAGGTTTGCACTATTGTTGAAACTTTCTGTGAAGTTTCAAGCATCGGAAAACAGTGGAGGAGCTGATTACACGAATTTGTAGCCTTTGGACATTTTTACAGACTATTGTTGAAGTTGTGCACCTACCATAATGGAGATGTTGAGAATAAAAAAAATGTCCCCCATTGTTTTACTTTTTAAATTTCTGGATATTCAATGATCATAAAAGACAACCCATGCCGTATAGTCTGCCATAAAAGGCCCCGACATGAAAAATATGAAACAAATCAATTGAGAAACTAATGGCCTGATTTATAACATATTTTTTTTAAGGAAAACAAATATGACAGACATGAACCGACAACAACCACTGAACTACGGGCTCCTGACTTGGGACAGGTACATAAAGAATATGGCGGGGTTAAACATGTTTGTGAGCGCTCAACCCTCCCCCTAATCTGGGACAGTGGTGTTACAGCACAACATAAGAACAAACTATAAAAATCAGTTGAAAATGGCTTAACTCATCATATCTTTACAAAACAGAAAAACATCTAACACTTTACTCAGTCAAAGATATTCTCCACTGAAACCACTCTCAAGCTTGACGTGCCTGAATGTCGTGCGGTCATGTCTTTATGCTTTTTTCCCTGTTAATGGAAGTTTCTATCGATGACACATTGTTGGTGTTTTTAATAATTTTTCTATATCTAGGGCGATTTAGAGGCTTATATCTCAAAAACTAAAGCAGTAAGAGGAAATCTGACACAATTTAAAATGGTCAGCAGGTCAAGGTCTATCTTCTGCTGATTTTTTGGAAAATCGGACAACCCATGTTGGAGTTATTGCCCCTGAAATGTAAATAATTTTTACAAGTTTTGGGGGTTATTATCTTGAAAACTATAAAAGATAGAGAGAAATTTTAAACAGTATAAATGACCAGAACAATAATACTTACAGATAAGTCAACTTCAAAGAAAATGTCAAATGACCTCTTATAGGAATCATTGTCATTAAATGAGGCCTTGATATTTACCCTTTTTGCATTTTTTTAGGAAACCAAAGTTGAAAGAATCTTTCGAGAGTAAAAATTGTTCAACAAAATATGTTCTACAAGTAAGAATTGTCACTATGATTGACCCCTAATAGGAGTTATTGCCCTTGAAAGACTAGTTTTACTCATTTTTGCGATTTTGCAGAAACCATAATGGATAGTGTAAAATTATAAAAGAATAAGTATAAAAATTAAATTAGATCAACAAATAATTCAAATGGCAAAACTTGTCAACTGACTCCTTTTAGGAGTTATTGCCCCTGAATGGCAATTTTACCCCATTTTTGCAGAAACGAAGATAGATAGAGCAACAACATTAGCAAAAATGTTCAGCAAAATAAGATCTATGAATAAGTCCATACGTTTGAAATCTTTCATTGATCCCTAAGAGGAGTCATTGCCCTTGAAAGATGATTTTTTTCCCCAATATTTCCAGAGGTTGCACAGACTATAACAGAAAGAGAGAAACAGTCAAACAGTCAAAATGTTCAGCACAATAAGATCAACAAATCAGTCGTCATCATGGCCAGAATTGTCAAACGTCTTTATATCATCCCCCCCTTGAATGATGATACTTATCCATTTTTTGCATTATTTCAGACTATAGGAGTTAGAGAGAACACATTTTTTTTTTAAATCGGCAAAATAGTCAATATGACCAAATTGTCACACTATTATTTCATTTCATCCTAAAAACTTTAATAACTAGGTATTATCTATAAATAGTAAAAATTTTCATCAATACAAGACCTTCAAAAATGCCACTAAATAAAATCTACAAATAGGTAAACATATTACAATAAAAGTTAAAAGTGAACATCAAAATGGTAAATTTATGTTTTACCTGGTCAGCGATTCAGGCTCTTGGTAGCCTCTTGTTCATATTCAAGTAATCTGCACGTTCATTCATAAAAGTTCTCTTGCAGCTATTGTTAAATGTTATGAACTCTGTTCAGGTCTAGCATGAAAAAAAATGCTGCAATTTCGTTCTTACATAAAAAAAAAAAGTTCTGTTAAAATACAAAAGAAAAAAACAACCGATTGGGCTAAAGGAAATATGGTTAGAAAAATCCCGCTGACTACTATAACACTGTTAATGTAGTAGTCTCAGTTTCCAGTAAAACTTTATTAACTTTTTAAACTTAACAAAGTGGTGAATTAGACATAAATTGACAAATTCTTGAGATTAGTCAAAGACTGTTTTGATAATTCCAGCGCATGCCTTGGATCATTTGCGATAGATACATTATGTTTGAAATTAGATGCAAATACAAACACTTTTGATTGTGCAAATCTAATATTCGAAAATATCTAAAACAGCTGTGCTTCAAGGAAATTATTTCGTACGCTTCCTAACATGCGGGATTGTCACCTAATATCCATATCGCCGTAATTGGTAACTGGTATATATATATGTATAGCAGATAATGAAAATAATGACGTTAAATTCGGATTCAATCTATACTAGAATCAATTATTGAAAATGAATGTCACTTAGACTTCTTTATATGTTGGACAAGATCACAACGAATTAAGTGAGTATAAATTTTAAAGTAATTCCAATCGCATGAAAAAGGGATTTGTCTGTGTGTAATGATACTGATTT